CCCGTGCCTTGCGCCCTGGAGTCTACACGTCCACCTGGCCCTACCTGAACTGGATTGCATCCAAGATCGGCACAAACGCCTTGCACATGGCTCAGCTGCCTGTCTCTTACCTTCCTTCTCAAGGTTCCCAACTCCAACCCTCAAACCCCTCAACTGCTCACCCTCCTTGGTACCAAGGCCAGCAGGAGGGCCGGCCCAAACCTCCTGTCAAACCACCCCCACCCCCGCCCCCGCCCCCGCCCCCGCCCCCACTCCTGACAGCATCCATTCAACAGACTCCACCCCCACCCCCGGCTCAGCCCCAACCCCCGGTTCTGTCCCCACTCCCGACCCTGCCCCCGACCCCACCCCCACCCCCACCTCCGCCCCCACCCTCACCTCAGGCTCCGTACCCTTTCGCCTTACCCCAAGTCCAAATCCAGTTCCAACCTCTAGGCCACCTTGTGCCTCCATCTGCCCCTACTAGGCCCCCACAGGAACTCTCATTTGCCAAACGACTCCAGCAGCTCATAGAGATCCTGAAAGGAAAATCTCTTCCTAACCCCAAGAGCTACTACGAGGTAGAGGCCATGCCGGAGATGACCACCATCTCCTGACCCCACTTCAGGTGGAGACCATTCCAGAATTGAACACCTCCTCCTGCCCCCACCGTGTTCTCATAGTCCCAGTGAGCCCTTCATTCCCACAGGGGAAGAAGGTGAGCTAGAGATATATGAATCCGAGGGTAAATACATATCTCATACATAGATGGTGCTGTCTTCCTGGTCTTTTCTCACTCTGCCCTCCACACCAGAGTCCAAATGCTACTTGTCTCCCTACCCTCTACTCTCCAACAAGGTGTGCTGGCCACTCTGCACACTTGTGCACACTGTCTTCATTTTTGTGTTGGCTGTTGAAATAGGATCAAAGGGAACAGCTATGGCCATTGCCACTTGGCGGCAGGATCCCATATATGCCATGTTTGGGGCTGCGCCCTGGAAGCAGCTCCCGGAGGACGGGTTTGGGTGGGTTTCAGTGTGTCGTCCTAAGACAACCCCATGGGCTGGTTTCCAGAGCTGGATTCCCAGAAACTAGAGATGAGCAGGAGATACAGCTGCCCAGCAGCCAGCGTCCAACAGACACACTCCCAGACAAGACTTTATTCGACTTCCATGACTGGCTCTGTTCTGGAGTTAAGTGAATTGGAAAAGTGATTGATCAAAACTCTTGGGAAAAGCAACAAGGTCGGTTTTGAGAGGCCCCCACTAATGCACAAGATGAACTTTTTTTGGGGTGGGGGAAGTCACACTGGGAGTACTCAGGAGCTAGTCTCAGCTCTGTGCTCCGGGGTCACTCCTGGTGGTGCTCAAGGGCCCACGTCTTGGGGCATAAATCCAGGCCTCCTGCATGGGAATGAACCTACTGCATGCAGAACAGGAAGTGAGGCAGCTGATGAGGTCACGTGCAGGAGTAGCCTACAGTCGAGGGTGCAGGGAGGTCACCTGCGGCAGCTGCCCAGGACAGTGAGGAGCCTGGCAAGGCAGAGCAGACTGCGATGTAGTTCCATGAGACTTTCAGAGTTTTCATACCGTGGGGAGACCTTCTAACCTCTGATTCTTGGCCAGCTGGGTCAGTGGTTCAGTGTAAGTAGATGAGGATGCAATGCTGCCTGGGGACAGCCATCCCAGTGCTCAGGGCTATTTTTTTTTTTTTTTTTTTTAAGATCCTTAACCCATCTTGCTTTGACCTTGCTACAGACAGAAAACTGTGTCCTATTCCTCCGTGGAGTCCTTTTTAACAAAACTCTCACCGATAATTCAAGCCTTACTCAACAGGTTAATAGGGTTGTTTCCCACCCCCACAAAAAGCCATCTTAGTTCTTCAAACATTTTCTCAGCTTTTTATTTTTGCTTTCATTCATTCATTCATTCATTCATCCTGTTAATCGTCGATTGCCTCGAGCAGGCCCCAGTAACGTCTCTTTCATCCTAGCCCTGAGATTATATTCAAGGCTTTTTAGGAGAATGAGACCCATCATTGTTACTGGTATTTGGCATATTTGGTGTGCCACGGGGAGTTTGCCAGACTCTGCCCTGTGGGCAGGCTATATTCGATAGCCTGCAAGTTTGTCCAGAGTAGGAATGGGATAATGAGATATCATAAAAAGATGTTTTGATAAGATGTTGCGCGGCCGTGAATGCGGCCGCGCGGTTCCGGGAGCTGCATTTTGTAGTCTCTGAGTCTTGGCCACTGATGGGATTACACGGCGCCAGGGGGCCAGGTGGTGGGTGTGACCCCCGCCTACTGGAATTTGGAGGATCTGGGTAGAGGATGCTCGACTCCAATTCGAGTAGGCTTGGAGATCTCGGTATCTCCAATAGGCCGAGATCTCCAAGCCTATTTTTGCTTAAGCCTCCAATTTCCCACAGGATTCTGAGACATGACATTCTGGCAGGAACTGATCAGAGTAAAACCGACCTTCTCGTTTCTGAAACCTGAGTTCTTTGTCAATGGTCTCTGGTAAAGAAGATCTGTGGGTACCTGATCCACTCATTCCAGCAACCAGCCCTCACTGGCCAAAGACTCCTGGTCAGAAGACAGAGCTGGGTCAGCCCTTAGCCAGAAGCATGTCCAAGGCCCCTCACGGGCTCCGTATGTGTGTGCGCGTGCATGCATGTGTGTGTGTGTGCACGTGCATGTGTTTCCACCTGTTCCCAAAGTCTTAAGAGAAATTCCACTTTTGATCTTCATGCTTCAGGAGAATGGGTTCATTTCCATGGATATATTTCACAGAGAAAAAGAAATGGGGCCAGAGAGATAATACTGAGTAGGGCAGTTGCCTTGCATGTGGCCAACCCAGGTTCAATCCCTGGCATCCCATATGGTCCTCCAAGCCAGCCAGAAATTATTCCTCAGTGCTGAGCCAGGATCAATCCCAGAGCACTGCTAGGTGTGACCCCAAAACAAAAACTAAATTAAAAAAAGACAGACATGGGTGGATGTTAGAAACATGGTGCTGAAGGGAAGACAGATGCAGAATATTGTTTCATTTATGCAAACTAACCATAAAGACAAATGGCCATCAGAAGCTTCCAGGGTTGAGGGGAGGGAGGTTGGCCAAAATGGGTGAGGAAAGAGCTTTCAAGTGATGGGAAGTCAATGATTTTCAAAGTAGAGAAAGTGATTGCATAAGATGGTAATGATTAAACGGCACTAATCATTCACTTTAAAATGGTGAATTTGAGGTGCCAGAGAAATAGTAGGCGGCATCTAGGATCTTGCCTTACAGCCAACTTCAATTCTATTTCCAGTTTTACATGGACTTTGAATCCTCCAAGCATTGCCAGAAGTGACCCCTAGGCTCAGAGCTGAGAGCAGGCCCTGCGTATCACCACTGGTTAAGTTTGTGTCGAGTATTTCACCTCCATCAATTGTTAAAGAAACAATTCAGGATCCACAGTGATAGTACAGAGGATAAGATGCCTGCAGCCTGGCATACAACTGAGTCCCATTCTCATCCCTAATACTGCAGATGGTGCCCCCCACGCTGTCTGGAGCCTCTGGAGCAGAGAGGCAGGAGCAGTTCTGAATACTGGTGATCCAACCCTTGACCCCACCCCCCAACGACTCAGGAGTGGTCTCCCCAGGGTAGCCCTAAGCCCATGTGGGGCTGCCCTCCCCTCCCCAGCTGCTCTTGGCTGCTGCTTGATCCTGGAAAATGCAGGGAGGGACATCACCAGCACTGACAGGCAGCCTGTTCCCTGGGTGCAACGTGGCTACATGAGACCAGCATGACCAGGCCCTATTATTTAAATTCTACCTCAGTGCTCTGAGTCCTTTAGAAGCACTAAAGATGTTTTTCTGATTTTGTTGGTGAAAAACCCCCTTTTCAAAAGGCTAACTCGCTCCTGAAAATTCCTGAAGTGGAGATGAACAGTCTCGGTGACTCAGATAAGACCCACAGCAGTGATCTCTGTCCCTGTGGCTCACAGCATAACCTGGTGACTACAGCAGATCAAGGCAGAGGTCCCTTCCTATGCCTGTACCACACAAGGATTCATGTTATTCTGTGCCTCTTTGCCATTCAGAGAACCTGCCTCCCCCCGCCCCACCCCCACTGTATCAACTCTGTCTATAAAAAAAAAATCAATGGGAAGGGGGCACATGATGACCACAGGATGTCTGGGCTCAGGGCAACTGGGAAAAACAGCTGCTGGCGGGTGGGTGTGGGTGGGGTATGTCTCCGGGCCTGGCCCTAAGTCCTTGCTGAAATGATGCTATAAAAAGGCTTACTGGGGCTGGAGCGATAGCACAGCGGGTAGGGCGTTTGCCTTGCATGCAGCCATGACCCATACAGGTTCGATTCCCAGCACCCCATATGGTCCCCTGACCACCGCCAGGAGCAATTCCTGAGTGCATGAGCCAGGAGTAACCCCTGAGCATCGCCAGGTGTGACCCAAAAAAAAAAGCAAAAAAAAAAAAAAAAGGCTTACTGATTTAGTTTGGTTAGTCTGCGCCTCATAAGTCAGTGGCTGTTCCTGGTGGGGGGCTGTTGGGGAGCTGTTATACCCTATGGAGAGCAGCACCCCCTTGCCCTTTCAACAGGTCATCTGACCTCTGACCCCACCTCTCTGTCTGCTCGGGCCTGGTGACACCTGTGACTCACCACCTCCATTTAAAACTAGTTTCTAAGGAACCTTGGCAGAGACATAGGACAGTAGGTAGGGTACTTGCTGTGCATGTGGCGGAGCCAGGTTCTATCTGTAGAACCACATATGCTCCCGAACCCTGCCAGGAGCGATCCCTGAGTACAGACAGAGCTAGGAGTAAACCCTGAGCACTGCGGGTGTGGCCCAAAAGACAAAACAAAAATAAAAACAACAACCAAAAACAACGCACGCAAAGACGGAGCCACTGGCTAGGAGACAAGGAAGGGAAAAGGACGAGGTCTCAGAACTTCTGAGTGTGACATGACAGCTGGGGACCAGAACTCATCTCCTGGGGAAGAGTCCAGAGGCCGGTTCTGGGAGAAGATGCCGTGGAGCGGACCTTTATTCAACAGACGCACCAAGTATGTGCTGTGCAGCTGTGGACAGGGTCTTCCCAGGGTCTACGAGGGTTATGTCCGACTGAGGTGCTACAGTGCTGTCCCTTCTGTCCTCGAGGAAGAGCACGACCTCTGTGCAGGCTCAGGCATGTGGGTGTAAACAAGATGGGGGGTCTGCAGGATGCGGATGGGGTGGCCAGGGTGGTGGGTCTGTGGGCATGGACAGGGTGGTCAGGATGGGGGGTCTGCACGATGCAGATGGGGTGACCTGGACAGTGCGTCTGCGGGACAGACGGGTGGCCAGGACAGTGAGTCTGCAGGATGTGCGTGCGGTGCCCTGGAGTCCCATCTCAGGACTGTGGGACTGCTGGAGGGGTTGTGTCCTCTGACTCAGGAGGGACATGGGCTTCCAGGGGGCCAGGCTGCTTCTGCTCCGGCACATCCTCCTCCTTCTGCTCCAAGTCAAAGTTCTACGGACAAGGCTGAAGTCAGAGCCCACTTCTGCCTTCTATACCCTGTCCTCCTCTCACTCCTGCCAGACCCACCTCCAGCTCCTGCAGGACCTCGTCCATGAAATCCTGTGAGTTCTGTTTGTAAGACACAGCTAAGCGGATGGCATCATTGAAGAGCTGGGGGGAAATGTGATGGTCAGCATCAGGCCCCACCCCCAAGCCCAGCCAGGTCACCCCTCACCTGAACTTGCGTGTGGCCAGTAGCCCTTACAGAGCAGCCTAAGTCCAACCTTCAGCTCTCCTGTCAGTGCTGACAGACCCTTCGCTTCCTATGTCTCCCCCCGGCCCCCAATTCCACACCAAGACTGCCCCCTTCACCACTTCTGTGACTGGCCCCTCTCTTGGTAGCTGTCCTGGCCAATTCCCCACCTGGCTACCCCAGCCTTGCTGGAATGTCTTGGACATCTTTACCTTCACGACATTGGTGCCATCAGCAGCTGAGACAAAGTACAGGGGCAGGGAGAACTTCCTGGCAAAATTGAAGCTTTTTTGGGTCATCTTTATATCTGCTGTAGAGGAAAGGCAGAATAGTGGTCTGTTCACTGGAGAGGATGGTGAGGGCATTCAGCCTGGCCACTAGTGGGCTGGACAGGGACCCCCCTGGACTACACTCAAAAGAGTTCATTCATCATGGGAGAGGCTGCATGTTGGGGAGGAAGAGGTCACTAGAACCACTGGCCCAAGAGGAGGGACATGTGGGGACAGTCCCCCCAACCCCCAGGATCGCTGACACCCCCATCAGGGATGGCCCCACCATCGATTTTATTGGCCACCACGATGCACGGGATCTCTGGCCTGGACTCCCGAAGCTCCGCATACCAGGTGCTCAGGTTCTTGTAGGTGACTTTTCTCTGGACATCAAACACCTGCCATAAGCAGAGGGAGACACTTAGGTGCATTTGGGACCCTGCCTACCACCCCGGCACTCACACTGCCAGGCTGGCGTGGATGCCCTGCTCAAGGCAGCACCTGCCCCCGTCAGGATCAACAGCCCTGGGATCCAAGGTGCTGCTTTAGGCCGGAGCGACAGGACAGCGGAAAGGCACTTACCTTGCACGAGGCTGACCCAGGTTCTGTCCCCAGAATCCCAAATGGTCCCAAATGATCCCCGAGTGCAGAGCCAGTAAGGCTGCTTTAGAACTGTCTCTCCCGGCTGGGCGACAGCTTCCAAGTGATACATGACACACACCCCAAACACCAAGCTGGGAGAGCCCCCAAGCACAGCTAGTTGTGACCCTCAAACTAGAAAAATGGAAATGAAAACTACACCTTCTTCTGTTTCACCAAATCTTAGTTACCTAGCTTAACCAGGAATATCATTTTACTAATTGACATACTGTTACAAATGGTAAAATGCTTGTTCTTGCCTGCATGTCATTTTTGTGGCAAAAATTCTTATTGCTTTCATCCTCCTTTGTAAATTTAGAATTTCCCTCTAGTTTCTGTTTATTTACTCTAGGCTTTTCTTCAGTATTTTGTTCATGTAGTTTAAAAAATATTTTATTAGTTACTTCCGTGACTGTGTAGTTTATAATCTTATAAAAATGATAAAGCCGCTTTGTTGCTGTGACTCCAGGTGCTGCTCAGGAGACTGTATGGCCCCAACGCCTGGTTTAGGCCTTGCACACGCCAGACAGGGCCTAAGCACCGAGCGCCATAACGGTCAGCTTCAGACCATGGCTTGGAATCAACTTCTAGGACCAGCCGCCCCAACACTATAGCTATGCTGGTCCCTGCTAAGTCCCAGTCTGCCACAGGAAGAGTGTGGCCATGCCATAGAGGCAGTGAGCAAACACAAGCCAGGACTCTCAGGGGGTGGGGGGCGTGTCTTCCAAGGAGATTCCCAGGCCCAATCCAGTATTACGGACCTGGAGGTCCTGCCCTCCCTGTAAGGGCATCCTTCGAGTGTGCCAGGGGCCTGTTCCAGGTGTACTGCTCCAGGCGGCCCCCCACTACCCCCATCAGTTATCTCTGTCGGGTCTGACTCCCTTGGCTTCTACCTCTTGTTTTGAGAGCCAAGAAGGGATGCTACCTGGGATGAGAGCACCCTGTCAGGGTCCAAGGTGAAGGGTGGATGCTTTGGCCCCTAATGGTTAGTTCCCTGCTAGAAGGAGGCAAGTCTGCAAGGCCCCTGCTTGCAGGGCGTACAAAGAGCTGGAGGGCACAGCCAGGCAGGTCACTCCACAGAAGCAGGGTTGGAACCCAGGGTCAGAAATGCCACCCAGGACAACCTCCTGGGCACCACATGGCCCCCAGTGCCCTCCCAGGGCCCCACTTTGGTCTGTTCCCCTGTGGGGACCACTTTCAACCTTTTGGAAAATTTCGAGGGATTCTGTGCTTGAAGGACAGTCAGCTGTTCATCTCTGCAAGAGCCAGACCAACTTCTTGCTGTTTGTGCGTCCATGAGCCCCAGTGGAACGCCAAACGAGAGCACGAGGCCTTCTCTCCCAAGCTAGTGGCTGCACATACACACACCATGAGGCTCCTGCTCTGTGACAGTCACAGACAGCCAGTGAGTGGCCACATAATAGGGTCAAGCCACCAAAGGTGGCACAGGACCACCCAGCTCTCTGGGGGTATATTCTGGGACATGGCTGCCTCTTGGGAGTTCATCCCTTCCAACAGCCTATGTGGAAGGGTCACACAGGGTCGTACCCCATTGCTGCCGACCCAGAGAAGGGCCATGCAGGCTGGGCCAGCCACCAGCAGTCACCTGCCACAGTGCCAGCCAGGTCATCCATTGGCCTGCAGCTGAGTCTTCGCAGCTGAGATTCTGACAGAGTCCACAAGTGTTAGAAAATGGCCAAGCTTGGGGGTGTGCGTGAGTTGCTGAATGCCACTGAAGAAGTCTGAGGGGCAAATTGTCATGGACTGAACACTGCTGGACTCCCTACACCAGCCTTCACATCCCGTGGCAGCACGCAGACACTCTTAATGCTCACGAGAATGTCAGGCATCCTGCAAAGCTGAGTGTGCTCTTGACTGGGCAGGGGGTCTGGAGCTGTGCCTATTCATTCATTACCCCGGAGGGTAAGACAGATGAGACTAAGAGCCTAACACTGGCATCTGCCCCAGAGCACAGGTGACAGCTGGGAACATGGTAGTGTCCACCACCTGGAGGGCCATAGGCCATGCACAGTCCCACTTGAGTCTCAGAACCTTTGGGACCCAAGTGGTATGAGATGAATCCCCCAACCATTCCCCCGAAGCCCCTTGGGGTGGGGGCTCCTCTCCTCCCCTCGAGCCTAGCCCTGCCCTCGTGGCTGACCCCCAGCAGGACCATACCATGATGCAGGCGTGGGCTTTGTGGTAGTAAGAGGCATGCATGCTCTGGAAACGCTCCTGGCCAGCCGTGTCCCAGAAGTCTGCAATAAGAACATAGTTCTGTCTGCTGGGCCGGGTGGGGTGGTGCAGATACCCTGTGCACTGTGGGGTGGCGTCACAATGCTCCACCATGATGCTCCGAGCAGGTCGTCACAGCCTGACGGAGCTGGATGGGGGTGCTGCATATGCAGGGACATAGGGCTAGAGTGAGTGAGTGTGCGGTGTGCGGTGTGTGTGTGCGCGCGCGTGTGAAGGGCCAGGGTATGTGTTGTGTGTGAAGCACAGGGCCAGGTATGTGCTCTGTGTGTGTGTGTGTGTGTGTGTGTGTGTGTGTGTGTATGAGACAAAGGGCCAGGTGTGTGCTGTGACAGGGGCCAGGGTGTATGTTGCGTGTGTGTGTGTGTGTGTGTGTGTGAGAGAGAGAGAGAGAGAGAGAGAGAGGGCTAGGTGTGTGCTGTGTGTGACACAGGGCTAGGGGCCAGTATATCTGGCAAGAGGGTGTGCTGCCTGCATGCATGGGGTGGTGAGGGGGACACAGGTCAGGCCCAGGAGGAAGAAGGTAGGTAGGAAGCCACAAGAGAAGCAGAGAGGTGCCCCCCTACTTCCCCCACTAGGGATTGCATTCTGCAGTGGTTCCCTACGGGCCAACTTTCCAGTGAGGGTGAGTGGCCTGATCCAGAGAAAGGCTGTGATGGCAAATGGGCAGAGCTGTCCAGTGTGCAGGACTGGAGCCACCTTCCCGCCTCACTTGGTGTCATCCCTACACTCCGCCCTATGCTTGGAGTCTCTGTTCCTCCGCACCTGTCCCCTGCCCCCATTCGGTCCATCTTGTGCTGCTCACCAACAAGGACAGTCTTGCCATCCACTGTAGCTGTGTGCTTGTACAAGGTCAGGGCGTACGTGGACAGCTGCTGGGGCTGGCTGCACTGAGGTTAAGGAATCAACAGGCATTAGAGGGGAGTGAAGGTGGAGACCAGGGAGGGGGGTGCTGGTCTGATGGAATGGCCCCTCCCCTTGTCTTGCTGACATGCAGTTTACTAACTGAATGAACATTGTAGCAAGAGGGCAGGCTTAGTGCTCTTCTGTGGTGCTGTGTGTTTCCTGCTGCTATCAGCCCTGTTTTTTGATGCAGACTTTAGTAAGTGTTTGCCTTCTGATGGACTGGGCCCCATGTCATTATGCAGTGTCTATCTTTGTCTCTTTTTCCTTTGTGCTGTTGCAGATCTAGTTCCTGTAAGAGAACACACCGATCTGCAGAAACTGCTGGTACTAACTCCAGGGCCAGGACCATGAGTACCTGGGAGTGTGTACTGGCCACCCAGGTCCACTGTGACACACGAAACAGTGTTAGCAGAGAAGTAGTAGATATGGAGAATGGACCCAGGGCTGCCCTAGGGGCTCTGGCGACAGGCTGTTGCCAGCAGAGAGAGGCCAGATGCAGGCAGACGGGGCCCGTCCCAGGGACAGGGTCCACGCTGGAGGAAGCTGATTGACTGTTCTTGCATGTCACAACCTATGTGTGGAGCCCAGAGAAAACCTGGGACTCGTGCTTGCACAGAGGTCTGACCAGTGAAGGTTGACAACGCAGGTGAGCCAGGGGCTTTCATGTTCTACCTAGAGCAGGCACCTCACTGGACACATCTGGAAGCCATGACGGAACGTCTCATTCCCAAGGGGCACAAGGCAACAACTTGAGGGGCAAAATGGGGCTCAGTGCTCCCATTTCACACTGGTGGGTATGTGAATGTCAGAGAGCCAAAGCACCGAGGTCAGAGTGGGTAAGCACCTGGCCTGGAGTGAGTTGTGGATGCAAACTCAAGCAGGCCAGGAGGCTCAGAAGCAGCATGCCAACTCTGGGGTGCAAAGAGAACCACAGGTGCCCTCACCCACTTCTCTGCCCTTACAGCCAGGGCAAATGCAGGAGCACTGACCCTCAGTGGGCTCTGGGATCAAGCTGCATCTCAGCCTTGAAGGATACAATCCGTCCAGGAGAAATCGCTCCATCAGTCTGTAAGGGAAACAGGTAAGAGTCAACCCTCCTCTGAGCCCCCATGGCCAAAGTTCCACCAACCTCTAGGACCCAGTGCCCCCTAAGAACTCTCCTCACCTGTCTGCCACCCTGCTGTGGCTAGCCCAAAGCCTGCAGCTGCTGACAGGGAGGCCCTCAGCAGCTTGTCACCAGGACCAGAGAGAGTGGAACTCAGAGCCCAGCCACGTATGGGCAACGAAGGTACTGGAGACCCGAAACTCAGACTCCCTGGTCAGGCTGCTGAGCCTGCCTCAAGTTCTCTGGCCAGCGCTACCTCCCCATTCTCCAAGCTCAGAACCTGAGAAACAATACTGCTAGCTCTGATGACCAGCAGCACACACCAGTCCACCCAAGGTCACTGCCCTTTCACCTGGACACACCTTCACACCCTGCCCACAGCACTCTGCTGTTCTTCCTCATGCCTCTGCTGAGACACTTCCCCAACACATGGCTGGTCCCTTTGCTCAGACATCACCCAAGCTGAGGGAACTCCCTGATTCACTCAGGCAGGCTCCAGGTCAGCTGGGTCTGCCTGCCCTGCAGGTGATAGCAGCCAGACTGGGGATTTTTACTGTTTGCTCCTACTGCAATGAAATGCCAGTAAAAGTTTCTGAATTTTCACTTTATTGCTGCATTCCCAGTGCCTAGGATAGGACCCTCTGTCTGCACAGTACAGAACAATGAGACTGTTAACCCCATATGCAAAGGCTCAGTGAGGGTCCCATGTGCCATGCTTGAGTCCCCAAATCCTATACTGGAGCTGATGCTGCTCTACTGTGCTCTGGGCACTGCTCTGACCCAAACTAAGGTAATTGTGCAGAAGCCAAGAATATGCTAATGTTATTGCTGGAATTAACAATATACATATAAGCAATATTCACAGTGTACAGCTTATGAATAACATCTCAATAAAGCCAAATTTTTTAAACTTAAGGACTCAAAAGAGTCATTTTGTTAACACTAAATTTTCTTGTTCATAAAAATACACTAATAATAAAGTAATAAGCCACAGGCTGTAAGAAGTGAAGAACATATAAAGGTGTCAAACAATCTGATTGAAATGGGGAACTGGCTTAAAAAGGCATCCCACCAAAGAGAACCTCCAAATATGAAAAAGATATTCAACATACCCAGTGGTAGGGCGTTTGCCTTGCACGCAGCCAACATGGCCGACCCGAGTTCGATTCCTCCGCCCCTCTCGGAGAGCCCGGCAAGCTACTGAGAGTATCTCGCCCGCACGGCAGAGCCTGGCAAGCTAACTGTGATGTATTCGATATGCCAAACACAGTAACAACAAAGTCTCCAATGGAGACGTTACTGGGCCCACTCGAGCAAATTGATGAACAACGGGAGGACAGTGATACAGTGATACTGATAGTCAGTGAAATGCAGAACTAAAGATCACTGTAGAGTAGCCAGACCAATAGAACAGCAGGGAGGGCACTTGCCTTACATGCAGCTGACCCAGGTTCCATCCCCGGAATTCCATAGGGTCCCCAAGTACCGTCAAGAGTGATCCATGAGTGCAAAGCCAGGAGTGAGTCATGAGTACTGCTGGGTGTAGCCACCCCCCCCCCCCCCCAAACAAAGGCAGATCTAAAAAATCACTGCAGAAACTCACAAAATCTCACTCAAGCCACACTGGAGTGACTGACCTTGATGGCTGTGTGGTGCAAATGTTCTGTCACCTTGCTGCTTTTTCTTCCCGCCTCACCTGTTGCCTAACTGATCGATGAGGAATACCTATTGGAATGTGGTCAGTGATGCAGTTGGAAAGTTAGTGAGCAGCCCCTGGGGGTGGATCAGTGGCTAAAGGCTGACGTGAGACCCTGGGCTTGACCCCTGGGGTTGTCCCTGAGTGCTGAGCATGGACTCCATGTGTGTATGTCTCGGACACACAGGCTGGTCTGTGTGAGCACGACAGAAGCATGCGGGCCCCCAGGAGCACAGCTCCCAGGATGTACACACTGTGACTGGCAGTGTGGCCCTGATGAGCACGTGTGGGCACACATGCCTGTGTGAGCATGTACGTACACTTGTGCGTGCGCGCATACATATCCCTGTTCAAGTCTGTGAACATGTGTGCATTCATGCACGTGTGTGTGTGTGTACAAGTGTGTGAGTGCCACAGTGTCCTTTGGCTTACACCACAGCCAGGCTGTGTTGAGCACAAGGAGAGGAGTATAAACCCCAAAGCAAGTGTGCAAAGAATCACAACTGTGGATCCGGGACAAGCACCATAGTTGAGTATATGAGCTACAGAGGGAAGCTACAACTAAATGTCCAAGCCCCAGAGCCAACGTGTACATCCTGGCTTTGTGACCACCACAGCAACCAACCGTAAAAAAAACTACACAAGGCCACTCTGCTGGGAAGTTCCAGTGGCTCCCCTGGGCCTGGCCTCACCAGACTCTGCCCCAAAATTCCACCTGAGGCTGAATCACACTTTTCCCTGGCTAAGAGTTCCTTGTTACCTGTCCAACTGCTGCTGTGGCTCCCATGGGTGGTAGATCTGATTGACAACTAAAGAGGAAAAGCATCTCTTCCCTTTTTGTAAGCGATGGAGAGTTATAAAAGGGAAAATGACACCTAAAGGCCAATTCACATAGTTTAAAAAAAATTAAAAAGCTGCACCTGGACATAGTTTGCGTGTATGTGTGTGTTGGGGGATGGGGGTAGGGGAGGTCGAGGGGAGAGGCACACCCGGTTGAGGACTTACTCCTGGGTCTATGCTCAGGGTTCTCTCCTGGAGGGGCTCAGAGAATCATATGACAGGCTGCGGACAGGACCTGGGTTTATCACATGCAAGTTAAGTGCCTGCCTTGCTGTGCTGTGCTATCTCCTCAGCCACCGCAGTTATTGTTAAATTGGGAATCGGAAAAGGCCATGTCTTTTCATCAAGCAGAAACAACATCTGGGAGACAAAGAATGTGTAAGGGAAAGGGAATGCTTAGGTGATGACAGAGGACGGCTGCCTCCTGAGGTGCCGTCAGAGGCCATGGTAAGAGTGGGGGATGGTGGGTGACTAAAGTGAGCAGGTGACACCAATGTACAGAAATGAAGGAACACATTTTCTGGGCCACACTGGGTGGTAGTCAGGGCTGATTCCTGGTTCTGTGCTCAGGGATCACTCCTGAAGGGGTTCTGGGGACCGCATGAGGTGCCAGGGTTGAATCCAGGTCAGCTGTGTGCAAGGGAAGCATCTCACACACTGTACTATTGCTCTGGCCACATGGTTGATTATTGAAGCAGTGTTTACAATGGTGAAAAATGAAAATACTCAGTTCTCCAACAATGAACATAGAATTCATCAAAGTCAGTGCACCAAATATAAAATGCTATAGAGTCATGAAACACTGTTTAGAGCTGGGAATGCAGAGAAGTAGTAGAGAGAACTCTACTTGTTTGTATAAGGACCTGGTACAGTACCTTAAAAATATTCCAGTACCACATGGAAAGTATCATGCTAAGCGAAATGAGTTAGAAAGAGAGGGACATACATAGAAAGACTGCATTCATCTGGGGGGGAACATAAAGTAAAAAAATAGGAGACTAACACCCAAAAATAACTGAGATAAGTACCAGGAGGTTCATTCCATGGCTTGGAGGCCAGCTGCACGTTCTAGGGGAAAAGGCAGCTCAGATAGAGAAGGGAGCACCAAATAAAGGGTGTTGGGAGGATCCTCCCAGGATTGGAGATGCATGCTGAAAGTAGACCCTAGACCGGACATGATTCCCACTCAACGCAAACCACAGCACCCAAAAGGAGAGAGAGAACAAAAGGGAATGCCCTGCCACAGAGACAGGGTGGGATGGAAGGGGTGGGGGGTGGGAGGGATACGGGATCATTGGTGGTGGAGAATGGTCACTGGTGGAGGGATGGGTACTCGATCATTGCATAACTGAAACCCAAGCACAAAAATTTGTAAGTCTACAACTGTACCTCATGGTGTTTCACTAATAAAAATTTTTTAAAATAAAAAAAAATATTCCAGTACCACAGACATAGAAAAAAAGAAAAACAAATCTTCTTAGATTTTAGCTGCTAACACTGAAAGCACCATAACACATGTATCTATTATCATTTTTAATCTTATTTGATTTCTGGGTCATAGGTGCTCAGGATTTATTCTTGGTTCTGTGCTAAAGGACAACTCCAGGCAGTGCTCAGGAGATCATATGTGATGCCAGGGATCTAACCAGGGTTGGCTGCATGCAACGCAAGGGCCTTACCTCCTGTACTATCTCTGCAGTCTCCACAATACATTTAAAAATAAAATAACTACATTAAAAAATAAAACACGTGTTGTCTTGAGTGTCTTGAGGTGGCATGAGCACAGGACAGGACAAGGATCCACCATGGCCATGTCACTGTCCTTGACGTACCATCCAGGCGAGACCCTGGGAACCCAGGCTGATGGAGTCAAAATGTTGGGGGAGTTCACCCCCTTTACAGAATCCACCGGACAAGTGCAAGGGAAACCATCCCCTTACACAGAACCCACCAGACATGTGCTAGAGAGACCATCCTCTTACACAGAACTCACCAGACACGTGCTAGGGAGATCATCTCCTTACACAGAACCCACCAGACATGTGCTGGAGAGACCATTTCCTTACTGCATAGTAGAGGGAAGGTGAAGCCTTCTTGAGACAATGCTTAGGATTGAAGGCAACAGCTCACAAGCCACTGAGATGTGGAGTGTGGAGTCAGAAACACATGAAAACATGGAGTCCAACAAGGCAGCTATGGTGCAGGAGAGAGGAGGCCCCTCATGTGGTCTCAGCAGTTGCACTACCACCTCCTACATCTCTAAACTGCCCAGAGGTGAGATTGAGCAGACGGACAGGAGTATCTCAGTCGGAGTTTTCTCCCATATGTGTACAGAGCCAGAGAATGGAGATACTAAAATCTGGCAGAGCTTTTTTTTTTGGGGGGAGGGGTATAACCAATGGTACTCCAGGCTCACTCCTGGCTCTGTACTCAGGGATCATTCCTGGTATGCATCAGGGGACAATATGGGATGCCGGGGACTGCACCAGCATACAGAGTGCAAGTCAAGTGCCCTCACCACTCTACTAGCACTCCAGCCTGGCAGAGGATTCTCCAGTCTTGCAAAGCCCAACCAAGACATCTTCCTTCAGCTTCTATGTTTTCATCTTAGTCTTCCACCTGGGGTAGTGTGAGGTGTTGGCACTGACTTGTTTTCCAGATGTATGGCCACAGAGGTCAATGCTGAGACCATTCTTGATGTGCTGTTAGTTCTTAATTTTTTTTTTCAAGTGTTGCTTACAAGATACTAGAGTTGGACCTGAAGGTTGGGTGGCACTGAGTTAGCAGATAACTGCCCACTGAGGCTCTCCCAGGCAAAGGTCCCCCCTCAAGAAAGCTTCACCTTCCCTCCTCTGTGTATCTCGTTCAGTTACTAAGTAGATACTTCATTCTCCCACTGTCCACAATTCCTGTGCTCTTATGTACTGGATCTAAACTTGGGTCAGAGAAAGGAGCTGTAATTTTTCTCTGCAATCAACCCAAACTAAGGCACCCTCACTTCTAATGCAGAGGCAGGTCAAGGCAATTCCAGAAACAAGCAAAACTAAAGACAAGCACAGGCTTTGTAAACAGGAGTCCCTTTGATCCCTTGCTCTGCATGCCCTTCAAAGCACTGCTTGGAATAACCCTGAGCAATGTGCCAGGAGCAGTTCCTAAGCAACACAGGGTATGGTCTCCAAACCTGCAACCCTCCTCAAACGTTATTCACAAAAGCCTGAGTCCCAGGGATTGTTAATAAAAAGCAAAGATGAAAAACAAGGTAGATCAGGAGGACTTGGGAAATATGACCACAGGGGACATCTGGTCTACCCTTGCCCCCAGAGGCAGAAATGAACAGAGCCCTCACTGCCCCAAAGAAGTGAGACAAAGCATGTGGGACCAAGGGGACAAGCAGTCAGCCCTGCTGGGGAGGGGGACACCTGTGTGCACAGGCATGAGGTCGATCGTCACAAGGAACAAGCTCATCTTCACTGGGGCCAGCTGCTTTTCCGTCCGCTCCTGGCCAGCTCCGTGAGCTTCCTGGGAAAGCACGCTCCCTGTCTTCACTAACTGGCCGCAGTCCTGCCCAGTCTCCATCCCCCTCTAACTGCTAAGTCCATCCACCTCCTTCTCCGTGGTGGGCACCACCTGCCCCCGCTCAGGACGAAAGGCCCCATCGCGCTGCCCTTGGCTTCGTGCGCCCACCCCACCTGCACACCACCCCTCCCTGCCTCGGGGGTCTTTGCCTAGCAACCCAGGCACAGTCCGGACGACGTTCCCCTCGTACTTGGACTTGCCCACAGCGCTGTCGCCCAGGCAGATGATCTTCACGTTGTCCTCTGCATCGTATTTCTCCTGGTCTATTTCACACGGCTTGGCTTTGTCCACGGCCATGGGCTCGAGGCTCGTCCGGTCGCTGTCCGGGAGGGCACGAGGCTGTTGGGCAGGAAGCGTCCACGGCCCTGCGGGAAGCGGGCCGCTCCGTCCGTCCCAGCCCACGGCCGCCGGGGGCCCTCCGGAGCCCCACGCTGCGCCCCTCGCCCCCCGAGAGGGACCGCCCCTGCCCGCCCACGCTGAGCCCGCGCCGGAGGGGGCAACAAAAAGCGACGCCCGGACGCAGACACGCCGCGTCACGCGCTGGGACGGAGGTCGCGGGGCCCGCGCCCGCCCCCGTCCGGCCGAGCCGCCCCGCCCGGCGACCCCCGCGCCCGCTCACCGCGGCCCGACGCCGCTTCCGGCTCCGCCCGCGTCCCCGGCTGCTACGCAACGCCCCAGGACCCCGCGGGGCTGCCCGCCGAGCGCCCGAAGGACCCGAGCGGAGCGGCCGGGGCGGGGCTCGTCGAGGCGCGGCCATTTCCTCCGGGAGCGGTCCCTTCGGTCTGGGTGTGTGTGGGGGGGCGCGGGTGCCTGAGGTGACAGGGTGAGGGGACTGAGGTGAGGGGTGCGGGTGCCTGAAGTGACCGGGTGAGGGGCCTGGGGTGAGGGGTGCGGGTGTCGGGGGTGACGGGGTGAGGGGCCTGAGGTGAGGGATGCGGGTGCCTGAGGTGAGGGATGCGGGTGCCTGAAGTGACCGGGTGAGGGGCCTGGGGTGAGGGGTGCGGGTGTCGGGGGTGACGGGGTGAGGGGCCTGAGGTGAGGGATGCGGGTGCCTGAGGTGAGGGATGCAGGTGCCTGAAGTGACCGGGTGAGGGGCCTGGGGTGAGGGGTGCGGGTGTCGGGGGTGACGGGGTGAGGGGCCTGAGGTGAGGGATGCGGGTGCCTGAGGTGAGGGATGCGGGTGCCTGAAGTGACCGGGTGAGGGGCCTGGGGTGAGGGGTGCGGGTGTCGGGGGTGACGGGGTGAGGGGCCTGAGGTGAGGGATGCGGGTGCCTGAGGTGAGGGGTGCGGGTACCTGAGAGGACCGGGTGAGGGGCCTGGGGTGAGGAGTGCGGGTACCTGAGAGGACCGGGTGAGGGGCCTGGGGTGAGGAGTGCGGGTGCCTGGGGTGACGGGGTGAGGGGTCTGAGTTGATGGGGTGAGGGGCTTGAGGTGACAGGGTGAGGGGCCTGAGGTGAGGGATGCGGGTGCCTGAGGTGAGGGGTGCCGCTGCCTGAGGTGACAGGGTGAGTGAGGTGACAGGGTGAGGGGCCTGAGGTGAGGGGTGGGGGTTCGTGAGATGAGAGGGTGCAGATGCCTGAGATGAGGGGTTGCGGGTGCTTAAGGTGAGGGGGTGCGGGTACCTAGGGTCAGGGAGGGTGTGCGTATGCTTGAGGGTAAGGGTGGGGGTGTTTGAGGTAAGGGGGTTCCTGAGGTGAGGGTGTGCGTGCCTGAGGGTGAGGGGTGGGGGTGCATGTGAGTTAGGGGTCATGGATATTTCTCTAGAGGGAATAAAAAAGGGGAGACATGCAAGAAGATGGAGGCTGTCAGAGGTAGTGTTTTTTTTTAGAACGTTTGAAACTAAACATCATGATTTACAAAGTGTTCCTAATACAGTGTTTTCATGTATTCAGTGTTTTAACATCACTCCCACCACCAGTGGACCTTCCCTGCACCAATGTCTCTAGTTTCCCCCACCTCCACCCCAAGTCTGCCCCCTTAGCAGGCACAAAATAATTTACTTGATGTTCCTGAGCTGTTAGGGGCTAGCTGAGCCTTCTGTGTTACATTTTTCGCTCATTGAGTTAGTGGGCTTCTGCATAACTTGTCATCTCATTTGCTGTGCTCCTAACTGGGCTGTCAGTACTGTGAAGTTTGGAAATGTGGCCACACTGGCATCTCTCCAAGATTAGTCCTGAGGCTGGGCCAGAAGAGGTCAGGTGTGGGTAGGGAGCTGGGCTTTCAGACAGGGTGGGATGTTTTCGAGGCTAACCTATCCTTTATCCTGGGTGCAAATCCTAGGCCTATTCTTCAGGAATTTTTATTTGTGGTTATTCTTTCTATTAGCACCATGATTTTCCCCCGTCTCTATGTAGTTACAGTTTTTCTTTCCTACCCTCCACCCTCCGTAGCAGGGATGTCAGACCACTCAGGAAATCATGGGTGATGAAGTTATCTGTGTATTTCCCTCTCAGGGAGGTCAGACATGAATTCGAGGTGGAGTCTTCTCCCAAAAGGGGTTTTTAGAGGGCCCTCCCTCTGTTGAGGCTGTGTGTAAATGACTATTTTGGGTTGTAGCACCACGTCTCATAAAGGAGTTTTGGATACCAGGGACAAGGTTTATCAATATGTTAGGAAACCTGGGCCAGATATTGGAAATCAAGACAGCCGAATGTGGGTAAGAAATGCCCCCACATTCTGGCCTTCAAAGGGGCACCAGGAGCTAGGTTGTACTTTCAGAAGAGTGAGGGAGACTCTAGTGAGATCAGAGGGGGTCCTTTTTCTGTGAGGCCATTATTGATGCACGAGAGTGACGATAGAACTTCACGGATGTGCAGGACTGATAAAATGTAGACTCAAACCTGGGTCCTTTGGTGTTGGATATCAGCCCTAAGTGTTTTAGGCTTTACCAGTGAATTGCCCCTTTCCTCCTCCCAGAGAAGCTTACCATGCCCTTGCTAACATCCCAAATTTGGTTAAAGCCTATCTTCAACCTTTCCTTTGTGTTCGATATTAACCCTGAGTGGTTTAGGCTTCATCAGTGAATTGCCACCTTTCTTCCTCCCAGAGAAGCTAGACTAACCTTTCCTTTGTATTTTACCTCTCTTTGTCACAGTTCCCTAAGTCAGTCTTGATTACTTACAAGTCAAAACTTGCTGGTAATTCTGAACTTTGTACTGCTTCGTATTTGAAGTGCTGTATATTTGTACCTGCTTTTCTATTTCCCTTATAGCCTTTTTATATTTTACAATAGAGCAATGTTCTTTGGTTAAACACAGAAGAACCATTACTGCTATGCTCCTAATATTTGGGAATTGATTGACTCTGTAATATATCTACTCCTGGGCATAATTACTTGGTCATAATTACTTGACTCAGGCTTCAGTTGCTGTAGTTCCTGACACCCCAAAAGGGAGGTCCCGTTGTGGGACTGGGATGGACCTGGGGTAAGTGGCAAAGCTACCCCGGCATTGAAAGGGGACATTCTAAAAAGCATAAATAATAGATCTTGATGCAAGCTGTTAAGATTTAAGAGACAGAACCCCCCATGGGGAAGGACAAGCTGAACTGGCCTGAAGACTCAGTCTGGGATTTTCAGTAAAAGCCTTTCTCTCAGAGCCCAGAGAATTAAGTGTTCAAAGCCTTGCTTCCTCTCAGCCCCGAGAACTAAGTGTTGAGATCGTTGCCTCTTACTGTGTTTATCCGAACAACTGCACGTATTGATAACTTATACAACTAGAGGGAAAGAGAAAAGCAATGTAGATGTCCCTGGGAGACAGTGTCTCCTTGAGTAAATCTCCCCAAGAGAATTTCATCCACCAACTGTTTCTGTGTAAATGATTAATCACACCTATGTCCTTACCTCAACCTCCCTTTAGATGTTCTATAAGTATGCTACCAGCTCTACATTAAATGGGCAGTTTTCATCCTCAGGCTGTGGTGTCTGTATGTCCTCCCCTCCCCTGTTGGGGAGGCCTGGGGAGGTGGGGAGGCAGGGAGGTGGCTCTGGGCTACCGAACACATGTTCAAATAGCAGTAGCAGCAGCAGCAACAGCATGCCGTGTTTTACTTTGTGAAATTTTGTGAACTCACACTTTGGTACCACTCGTTGCCTGTTCTGAAAGAGTCTGTGGGATTTCATTTTGTATTTCAATGGGAAGTGATTAGCCAACTATTGGAGTAGAAATTGTTTCAGTTTATTTTGGGGCCGCACCTGATTGAGCTCAGTGCTCTGTACTCAGGGTCCATCTGGGTGCTGGGGATCAAATCCAGGTGGGCCATCTGCAAGGCAAATGCCTTACCCTCTCTGGCCCCTAGAATTTTTTTTTTAAACCTAAAGAGGAGACGTTTTAAATGATTCCAGGTTTCCTAAATTAAGTTCTACCTAGATAAACTGTAACCACCCACCATCTTGGTGAGAGTTTAAAGAAGAAAGCCAATCTCTTTCCTGAAGGGCTTTAGTTTTTTTGTGACTGAATCTGGTCCTGAAGGGGACCAGAAGGGGAGCACGTTTAAATACTAGCAACTTGGGAGTCTGTCTTCTTTGCAGTTTCCATTGAAAATAGGGGATTAAGAAAAATAAAAGTAAATAACCTCTAGTTGGAGAGTGACTCCTTCTCTTGTTTCCAGCATCCTTTTATACTCCAAAAATATTTGCAGCGATCTTTCCTAACCATCTTGTGCCGCTTTCTGGTGACCTTTTCCTTGATTGGTTCAGTGGTTATCTCCATTGACTTCATGTAGGGGTAATTCTGCTTTTTCAGCTGATCCCCATAAATAGATTGGGGGAAGTTCTGCCTTTTTGGCTGATTCCCATAAATAGGTATTATCTGGTACACCCGACAGTTACTGACTAAAGCCTGTGAGGGGCAGCTGTGCGGGGCCTCTAGATCAGTCAGAGTGAGGTACTCCCCTCAGGCTGCGGGTCCCGCTGGCTTCTCTCTCCCTCCCTGGGGTCCTGCTGGCCTCTCTCTCTTGGGGGTCCCTGCTGACTGGCCTCTTGAGTGGACACTGGAGCCTCCAGGCCTTTCCTCCCTCTGGCCTTGATCTGTGTTGACTTTTTCCTGAAGTAAAGCACATGAACCCATTGGAATTTTCCCTGAGGTAAAGCAGGTGAATACATTTACTCTCAAATTCTTCTAGCCAGAGGCCAGAGTGGAGCTTCTTTGGGACAGAAAGCTGGTGTTTTTGTCGTCATTCCCCCCCCCCCCCCCCCCCATACACACACTGAGGCAAAGTAGTATTTTTTTTCTGAGAAAGATGCAGAGAAATATGGGGAGAGAGAGACAGGAGAAAGAGACAGAAACAGACAGACAGAGACAAATGGAGAGAGAGAGGGAGAGACGGAG